CGCTGCGGCGGCCCCGCGGCCTCTGCCCACGGCTGGCACCGGCCGGCCCGAGCCGGCACAAGGGCGATCGCCCCGTGCGGTAAAAGCAACACTGGAGAGCTGCGTTCTTGTCCCAGGGAATCCGTGGGAGCCGCCCGTATTGCCAGGATCCCGGCTGTCAGTAGTCTGGGGACGAGCAGGGAAGGCGTCCGGCCTGCTGATTCCGCGGGCAGGCCGTGGCAGGGTAATGTCTTCCCTCGGGTGAGCGGGGGCAGGACTCGAGGGAATGGCCTGAAGTTGTGTCAGGGGCAGTTTATACTGGATGTTGGAAAAAGGTTCTTCTTCTCCCAGGGGTAGTTGGGCACTGGAACAGCCTCCCCTGGGGAAGTGGTCACGGTACCAAGGCTGACAGAGTCCGAGAAGTTCAAGGTGACCCTCTGGGGTACAGGTGCGGTGCTTGGCCGTGGTGCTGTGCAGGGCCAGGAGCTGAATTCGGTGACCCTTGTGCGTCCCTTCCAACTCCCCTCATTCTGTGATTCTGCAATCCAGACCCACCAGAGACATGCGAGAGGTGCCAGAAAGCCTCACGATCCTGGAAGTGACAAAACTCAAACAAAACTACTGTCCTATATAATCTATTCCTATTTAACGAACTAAAACCTAACAAAATAAATTTTCATAGTTTATCGGAAATTTGATTAGATATTAGGAAAAGTCTCTTCACCCAGAGGGTGGTTGGGCACTGGAACAGGCTGCCCAGAGAAGCGGTCACAGCACGAAATCTGAGAGAGTTGAAGAAGTTTGGACAGTGCTCTCAGGGACAGGGTGTGACTCTTGGGGTGTCCTGGGCAGGGCCAGGAGCTGGACTCGGTGAGCCTCATGGGTCCCTTCCAACACAGGTTGTTCTGTGATTCCATTAATGAAGAATGAGGAAATTAGGGATTATATCCTCATAAGATTGAGGTGCCGCTTTCTTTGAGTGATGTAAAATTGTAAATTTAGTTCAAGTAAGTGTTTACAGGGGAGAAAAAAGTATAGGTGCAGCAACCATGAATTACTTTTAGCCTGTTGACTTGAAAGTTTTTACTTCACGTGTGTACGTGCTCCAAGGGGAGTGCATGTGCCTGGCTTTGTGTGGCTCTGCTGCCTCAAGTGTGGGAAGATGAACACAGAATTTCAATATATGATGTGGAGTTAACAGGTGAACTTTGGGCTTTCATATTTGCTTTATTTCATAATTGAAAAATTATTTGTATACAGTGTACAAAAAATCATAGCACTGTTTCCACAGAATCTTTGCTCTTGCAATATTTTTTATTAATAACATGTAATTTATGATGCCTTGTATATTTAATCAAGAAGGGGCAATTTAACCATGGAGGTGGTTATTATTTGTTTTAGAAAAATACATTACTATGTGATTTTCTTTGGGATGTAGGAGAAATCTATTTCTATTGAGAAGAAATACATTTTACATTTGGATTATAGTAACCTGTGGGCACTCATTTTTTTGAAGGTTTTTCATCCATTATTTTAACTCTTGGTCCATTCCCCTATATTCTGGGAGACATCTTCCATGCAAAGTTAGATACAGAATTGTACAGCTTCTTTGCAAATAAGCCTTGGTCCTCTAAAAAGCCCCAAACCAACAAATAAATAACCCCAAAGCAAAACCCCAAACAAAACTTGAACAACAACTAGTGTCTTTTTGTCTAATGTTACTGGAATATATTTGGTTAATGTTACTGGAATTAACACAGATTAAAAAATTAGGATATAGTTGCATTGTTGCAGCATGAAACCAACAAAGAAGGGATTTTCTTCTTCTGTATTCTCCCTATAGGCTAATGTTATGAAATGTACAAAGCCCCAGCTCAGGCTAGATGCCTCTGCAACAAATTATTCTCATCATCAGGGTTAAAAAAATAAAATTAAAAAGCAGTAACTGCAGCCACATGGAAACATTATCAAGCAGGAATTACACACAGGCACCCACTGTCCTTCAGAGCAAGTGTCCACAGGGCCAAGCTTTCAAAATCAGCTTGAAATTCCTATTCATCGATTTAGAGATCTGGCTGAAGAGCATGTTGAATATTTGTCTTACAGTCTCTTCTGAGGGCAAAATAGACACAATTTCAAAAGACATAAATACTTTCCAACTTACAAATCAACTGTAATTAGCCATAGAATCTTATGCAAAGAGCATCCTTAGATATGCTTTGAGTTTTCTAATATGAGCAAACACAATATTTTCTTTAAGCTGCTTAATCCATTTAATGAAAAACAATTAGAAAAAAGGGAGACCTGACTATTCTGATACATTTTTTGTCACTGATTGTGATGGATTGAAACTGGGAATTACTGGCTATCCATAAATATCACCCTTTCAGAAGCCATTTATTTGCACTGGTTTTAGTAAACAAGATGATACATTTCTTTTGAAAATGTACTTGAAATTAGTTGCAGCTCCTACTTGGAAGAGGAATGTTTGTAACTGACCTTTTTCATTTGCTTATTTATTTTACTGATTTGTGAGGCTTTGATTGAAGGCTTCCATTTCTTGCTTTTTGTTTTAGCAATGGTAATTCACATTTGTATGTGATTAGTTCAGTGGTCACTCCACAGGAGTATTAAGTAAAATACTTAGTGTGTTTCCCAGAGACCAGGCTCTCTGCAGGGAAAAGCACCAGGAGAATAAGAATTAGAATGAATTTTGATCCTGGTGGAGATTTGTAAAGGATATCTTCTGCAGGCAGTCTGGCCACTGGGAAGAGGCTTTTCCTGCGAGGGTGAAGGCAGTTACAAGGGTCAGTCTCTGATTGTGGTTGCTGATGACCACCTTTGTCATCCTGAGCTGAACCTGCTGATCAAAGTTTATGTTTTTATGCTCTTTGGTTGCTACTGCACGGAGCTTTGAAGTATCACAACTTGAAACACCACAGAGCTTTTCCGTGCCAGCCCAGATTGCTTATGGGAAAGGGATCAAATAAAACCAATTTAGATACTGCAGTTAGCAATGCTGACATCATCACTAGTCCCTTTTCAATTCCTCTGCCAGCTTTGAATCTCTTTTGCTTTACTGTTTGGAAATGATACTAAATGCCGATGAGGCAGTATATATTTCAAGTTTCCAAAGTCCTGTGAGTCATTTTTAGACAATCAAACCCTTTTTGGGGTACAGGTACCTGACATTAACTGCTTATGATATGGTGCCTGATCACATCCAGGAAGCTATTTCAATACTGCTCCATTCCTACTCTGGTTGGATAAAATGCAGTATATCTTTTATTTCCCACATATAATTGGATCGTTAAGTGAGTTTTTAGAGCTGTAGGGGACTTTGTGTGTCTGAACAGAACCTTAATTGTTGGTGTGTTCTTCCGAGTGAAGGATGTCAGGACTTTAAGATTCTGAATCTAAGTCTCGTGGTAGCTGAGGTAATAGAGGTTCAGTGATTTGGGATACTCTTTCAGGTTCTCACCTCTAGTTTCTTCTTAATTGAAATTGCATTTCTTGCACAGGAGAGAAATAGCTGAATATTATAGCAGGTTTACAGAAAAACACTGAGGGAGGAGACAAATATCATTCATGACTTTTTATCAATAGTAAAGGTGCAGGTGTCTGTTAGTGCATGTTGTTTGCTAAATCCATTCTATTTCCTAATCTTGTGCTACCTGCACATGTTTATAATAGGGTTAGTGTGCAGCAACTCTGAGAATATCTGCTCAAAAAACATTTATCACCCTGCCTCTCACAGATACTTCTACCTTCACTTGAAACATACTTTGAGCTGCACAGACCATTTTTATTTTTTTTAAGATCTGAAATGAAAATGGATGAAAACACATTAGCATGAGACAGATTCTCTAGCCCTTTTTTCAATTTTTTAAATCAAGTATCAGCTCTCAAGTTAAGAAATTATGGGGTTTAAATGTAAAATTATATCTTTGGATTATTGCTGCCTAACTTTCTGAAGCAGTAGCATTATTTCTTGGAAATTAACAGTAGGATAAATGATCATTAGATTTTCTAGGTCATACTACATCTGATTTATTGTTCTGTGCACATCACTGGAAGATTGTAGGAGAGCAAGTTCAGTCCAGGTTCATTCACATTGTATCTTCTATTCAGTTTAGGACTTCAAGGTTTTGTTTAGCTTTTTCCTACTCAGACATACTTTTGATTGTGAAGAATATTTTTCTTTACACCTATAAACTGACTTTGGTTGGTGATATCTCTAAGGACTGTTACACTACCTACTATGGCAATCTCTTAGTAGAAAGAGAACTTCAATAAAAATAAGCTATTTAGAGCCCTTTGTTAAGATAATAAGACAATTTTATTAAAAAATATCTGTCCCAAGGATGATTTTAATCAAGATAACAAAACAGCATAAAAAACGGAGGATTTTTTTGAAGTAAGTGCAAATTTTATCTGCAACTAGTTTTGAATACTTTGGGAGTATGTTGCTTCAGAAATCACCTCATTCCTTTGGTGGAGTGACTGTGTGTTTTAGGTATGCCTGAAAAGACCAAAAGCCATTTTGGATGGGGAGAGCAGAAATGCAGAGATCATCACACCCATCAGCACCAGGTTCTTCTTGTTTTATGTTACAGCTATGTAATGTTTAAATAAAAATAAATTAAGTGTTAAGTAGAAAGTCTTCCTGCCCTAGTGTGAATAACAACATACTCCTGGCATGACAATATAGCAGTTGTTAGCTCTGTGCTGGAGATGATCTCATAGTTGGTTTAATCAAAAATCTCATCTATGCTGTAGAGAGGGCCATAGCTTTGGAAATTCAATCTTTTATCGTTTTGCCAAGAACTTTCATTGGTGTCCTTTGGGTCACATTGGAAGGCTCATTTTGTTGTGCTAGGGTTTTCTGAGTGAGCAATCACACAGAGTTTTTGTTGTGGGACCTCAGAAGGCTTTTCTCACACAGGCTGGGATGCATTAGGAAAACGAGTAAACTAGTGTCATATCATACATGCCTACTCTGTACACTGCTGTCTGTGTGTTTTGACAGATGAGATGAAAATTATAGTTATTTGTATTGAAGACTATTACTTTTCTTTAAAGTGTTAACAAGTCCTCAGTAGATATTTTTTTTTAAATATTGGAAAACCACTTAGGAATCTACAAAGTCAAAAGCTTGCTAGTAAAAATCTCTAGTTCCTTAACTCGAGTGCTCGTAATGTGCAAATACTTTTGTTTTTAGGACAACTGCTGTTAATGAGCAGG